GGGTGAGCTCCCGTTTCTCGGTCCCTGCTCCTGCCAACCTAGCAGTTCGAAAACACGTCAAAGTGCAAGTAGATAAATAGGTACCACTCTGGCAGGAAGGTAAACGGCATTTCCATGCGCTGCTCTGGTTCGCCAGAAGTGGCTTAGTCATGCTGGCCACATGACCCGGAAGCTGTACGCCGGCTCCCTTGGCCAATAAAGCGAGATGAGCATTGCAACCCCAGTCGGTCATGACTGGACCTAATGGTCAGGGGTTCCTTTACCCTTTACCTTTACCTAAGCAGAGGTTGGGTGGTCATCTGTCATGGGTGCTTTAGTTGTGATTCCTGCATTGCAGGAGGTTGGACTAGGCAACTTGGGGTCCCTTCCAACTGTATAATTCTATGGTTCACTTACCCTAGTTCACTGCCCTGCTCACAGTTGTGAAGAATATTCTTATGTTATGAATGGTTTGCATCGCCATTAAGAAAAAGAGGTCAGAATAGGTCAATATATATGTGGACTGCCCCTGGATCTTCTTCAAGTTCTCAAAGCTCTTAACCTAGATCAAGATTGTCATCTGAACTAGCCATATGTTTAACTGATAATCTGTCAATCAGCCCATCATTTGAAAAATAAGACTTGCACAAAAATGACAACTAGACATTCTGTTTTGGTGACTGTAACCTTGGTTTGAGGAGGTATTTGGCACCTAGATTATATATCTGAGTTTCTAACTAAAACCATCCTGTTTAGTTAGCCTTTCTGGCCACAAAAGGCTTTTAGATCCTGTACTGATATGTTTTGGTATTTTAAGTTTGTTATACTGAACTGTTTTTATTGCTCTGGTGATTTCTTAAGACTACAGCTAAACCCCTGACTAACCATGCTGGTGATGTATCTGTGTGTGGTTGGATGGGGGAAGAAACAGCTCTGTCAACCTCCGCTGGCCTCCACCATGCCTCCAATGTAAAGCTCTCCCTTTCACGTACTAAAAACATGGCGGGTAGATTTACTGCTGCTGAAATCCCCCCTACTGGTAGCCCATGGAAAGCTCCAAAGTTAGGCATTATGAGGGTAGACCCAGCCCAGGATCTACTGCAGGCTTCCTGAAATTCAGCCCTCCATATGTTTTTGGCCTACAACTCCCATGATCCCTAGCTAGCAGGACAAGTGGTCAGGGATGCTGGGAACTGTAGTCTCAAAACATCTGGAGGGCCGAGGTTGAGTAAGCCTGATCTACTGGAACTTGAGTCATCCCTACTGCCACCACTTGACAGCAATGTGCTGAATGTGAGCCTGGCCAGTATCCAAGCTCCAGGCTGGCACAGCGAATAGCAGGGTTTTGCCTCCCAACCCAACCTCCATCCTGGTCAGTGTGAGCAATGGGGCTACAGATGCAATACGGCTACACTGCTCCACCCTGGAATTAAGATTGCTCTGTAGTTGTTTATAAAGCCATCCTGTGTCTTTTTGTATTCAGCTGCTACGGGCACTTCTCGTTGCCATCCTCACATTTATTTTTATTTTTTTACAAGGTAGGTTCTAAATGTTTTTAATAAATAAATGCATTTTCGTGGAAATAAAGATGGTGGTTACAACTGGAGCAATCAAGAAGGCCAAACTGGGGCACTTATTCAGTGATGAGCACCATACAGTGGTACCTTGGGTTACATACGCTTCAGGTTACAGACTCCGCTTACCCAGAAATATTACCTCGGGTTAAGAACTTTGCTTCAGGATGAGAACAGAAATCGTGCAGCGGGGCACAGTGGCAGCAGGAGTCCCCATTAGCTAAATTGGTGCTTCAGGTTAAGAGCAGTTTCAGGTTAAGAACGGACCTCCAGAACGAATTAAGTTCTTAACCCGAGGTACCACTGTATTGGTGTCAGACATTTGTCTGGCACCTCCAGATGGTAGTGCTAGGCCTGGGTGTGCCCATATTCACACATCCACCTCAATCGCAATTTTAAATTTTTGCCATGAATAGTTAGGATAACACAAAATATCTAGCTTTAGAACTTAACAGTAAGGCAAGCTTCTGTTTGTTTTTTTAGTTTTTTTAAAGAAACTGGGTGTCCCCCCCTCCCAACAGAAAGAGAATAAATCCAAAGAGATGGGGGGGTGTCAAGAAATTACTGAGCCCTTTGTAGTAACACCATTATCAGTATGAACAAAACGTCAAGACTGTGAGAACATATTAAACCATCTACTTTCTTAAACAAAGAACCAGGAAGTTGTGACAAAGCCGTACTGCAGCAATACATGGAAGAATACATCGGTTCTCCATGGCAACAGAACTACTTGGTAACTGGAGTGAGCAAAAGCAACCACAGAATACTACAAAAAACAGGCATAGTCGTCTATATTGCTGCACTGTAACATGCTTTGGCACACTTCTAAGAAAAGAATGAGGAGGCTTCCCCACAAGGAAAACTGGTTTTCTATATTCACCCATCATCAAAGAAGAAATCAATCAGCTTTTTCAAATTTGTGCACCAACAAAATATTCTGTTTATTTCCCCCACCGTGCTAAATGCCATACATTTCCAGCACATGCAGAATAGCTTTTGCCTCGCCTCCTTGCATAAAAATAGCACTTGTTGGTTTCAGTTCTATTCTCAGCAAAACTGCTCCAGAGACTGCATCTAAGTGAGATTGCTTACAATTTTTCTGTTTAGATTTCATTACAGGATTTTCCATCAATAAGCAAAAAAAATAAAAAAAATAAATACAAACCAAGGAAGGTTAATATATAAGGAGTTGGCATTTCATTTCAGGTTTCCACCCCCACTCCCCGTTTTTTTAGTACTCCTGGGTTAGAAATTTCACCTAACCATAGCAATTTATCTAAATTTTATTTAAGCCAGCATAGCAAAAGTGATTATATGATCATTATCCCTTTTTGCCCACCTTGCACATTTATGGTATCATCATCTTGACATGCACATTCACTGCAACTTAAGTACTTCCAAAAAAAAAAAAAACCAGCTTTCACCCCTGCATTCTATTATAACAGCTGGTGAACCCAGCATCTGGTGGGGGACAGATAGTCCTCTTGTACATTTCTGATTGCAGTCTCTGGTAAGCAAGCTTCTTGGCGTGGTTTGGTTTTGGATATATTCAAGATGAACTTGCAACAAACAAGCCACACTGCATTTTAAAAAGTGTATTTTATGCTTACTATTCTACACCTCACAACAACTGTAATGGTTTCATAAGAACCAGTAAGTCATTCATTTTAATGTAAAGGGATCTGTGTCTTTGGTACACCGGGGAAGAGAACCTGTGGTCCTTCAGGTAATGTTTCACGCCAACTCCTGTGAGCCCCACCAGCATGGTTAATGGTGAGGAATGAAAGCAGTAACATCTGGAAGGCCACATGAGCGTTCGTGCTCAGGTCAAGTGCAGTGAGGCCATATATCTTGAGTGTCACCATTGCTTCATGAGAATTAAGAGCGTTCAAGAGAACGACTCTGCAGCTGTGTGTTGCAAGGGAGGAATTGATAGAGGTGGTGGGCAACTATCTTTGAGGGAAGCTTTAGTCATCTTCACATTGAGGAACTCCTGATCAACTTCTGAGGAACACTAAGATTCCTTGGAACCATTTGAAAACTACTTAAAGCTGGGGTAGATTAGCTTGTTTCAGCTAACTGTGCCTGGGCTGCTTTGCTTTTGATCCTTGCACAAGGATGAAGAACAACAGCGGGAGCCCTTTTGTGCTCGAAGACTCTTCTGTGGATGCAACTGTATTCGGTGCTTCCCTCCCCCCTTTGCTTTGCTTTTGGGGATGACTGCTGTTTCCAGGGCTGCCATCAACAGTCTGCCTTGCATTGATTTGAGAGCTGCTTGGGCCAGAGGCTGGTGTGGAAAGGGCAGGAGTGGAAACACCTTGAAGCTGGAAGCTGAGTTTATTTGTCTTGCTCCTGTCACCCTGCAGGTAGGTAGGTATTCGTGTATGTATGTATGTATGTATGTATGTATCTGAGAGCTGTTTGAGGAAGAGATGAGAGCCAAAGGGCTCTTGTTATGTAGATCTTTACCTATGGGGCCTGTGACAAGAATCTGAGGAGCCGGATGCTTTGACACCGAGCTCTGCAGTTCTAGCTCAAAATAGTTTTGATCTTGAATCTATGGCACAAGCATCTCTGTGTCCTCAAGATGAAAGAGGTTTGGGTAACCTAAACATCTTGCTGTGTATAAACAAGTCCCACAGGATTGGAGGGGGGAGTGACCTAGTTGATCTACTTGAACAGTCTGTGCCATTAGTTATTATGTTTATACACTATTAACCATTGTAATTGATGGAGGCAATTGAATAGTAAGAGATAGGTTGCCATTAAGAAAGTTTAGCTTTTTAAAAAGAAAAAAGAAAAGTTGTTTGACATCTAGGAGAAAGATGGACATGTAAACAATTTGTAGGAGCCATTTCCAAATTTCACCCTCTTTCTTTCTGAGCTCAAGCAAAGGTAACCCATAACAGAGCTGCCATTTATTGACCTTAACAAATGCTTATAAAGGAACAAAACCACACTGTTATTTCACCACGATGTTATTGGGAATCCTTCCAATGATTTTAGTGGCGGTTTAATGGTCAGAGGCTTGACCCCTGTATAATACAAAGTACCCACATCAGACCCTTGGGGTGATTATACTATTTATATAGGATTACTCAGCTGTAATGATCTCCTGTGCAGTCAAAACCAAATAGATGTACCTTTCCCTGTTTATTTGTTTTGTAACATAAAAACCCTTAGTAAAAACTATTTTCTTTTTAAAAAAAACAATCAAAATAATGCAGGCTATGAACAAAATGGCAAACATCAAATGCTACAAAACTGTCACACTTTCAGAAATATAAACAGATTCAATTTTCCTAAACCTAGTATCAAAATAGTAGACACTATTTGGGTTGAAGAACAGGTCAATATTCTCAGGCAAAATTATCAACATGTTAAGCACCAGAATTCTAATTACCCAATGAGGTCTTTTGTTTTTCAAAATGAAGTGTTATTCATTACCTCCTAATCCAGGTCTCAGACGATTATCATAACCATCCAGAAGCCTATCTAGAATTCTTGTAAAGATGGTGATGTTATTTTTTGCTTCATCTTCATTGGGGTCAACCGATGCTGATCTAAACAGACATTTAAAAAAAATAATATGTTAAATATGTTCTATGTACATTTACTACACTGTTAGTATTTATTAGCTCTGAATATTCTGTATATGCATTTAATACAAATTATTTGAAGATGCCACCCTTTTCTTAGCGAATAATCAACATTCTTTAGCTTTTCATTTTTAGGACCCAACTTTAGCCACCACACTTCATCATGTGAGCAATGTTAATATTTACCATTTCCCTTTTCTTATTCATTCACCATGTCCTTCTCTGTTCTATGTATGCTTGCTTCCTCAGCCAAGCCTATCCAAAACTTTCCTACTAGATATTTAAATCCCCACCTCAGCTGGGTATGCTTTTTCTCTTTCTTCCAATTTCTTCTCTGGCAATCAAAGAAAATAAAGTGGCTGACCACTGTTGGAGGCAGAATACCGGCCAACTTGGACCCTTGGTATGATCTAGCAAGGCAACATGTGTGTTTGTGTGTGTGCGTGTGTTTAAAAAACTTAAAACAAATGAAAATAGTGGCAAAATCACTGGTGCAACCCATATCACTTTTGTCCACTTCCTTACAACTTCTCTGAGAATTGATTACAAGCCAACACTTGAAATAAGTGCTGCAAACAAGAGATGCATCCAGTTGTATTTACCTGCAATACCTGAAGCACATAGTAAGGTGAAACCTGTAACAGCAAACTCAAGAGTAGATCTTTGTCCACTAAGCCCAATACACCATGGAGCACAGGAAGTTGCCTTATATGGAGTCAGGTCATTGGTCCATCTAGCTCAATGGTGTCTGCCCTGACTGGTGATTCTGCCATCCCCAATCTAGAGATACGTACAGGGATTGAACCTTCTGCATAAAGTAGATGCTCTACTGCTAAGCCACAGCTCTTCTAATAAAAGTTCAGGTCCTTCCAAGAATTGGATCACTGTCAGTCAGGACCTCCTGCTACCCACTTCCTTTTCCAAGAAACCTTGTAGCAAAGCAGGGAACGAACACTGGAAATAATTGGCCGGTAGGGACCTTATAGGACTCATAGGCCTTGATGCATTCACTGAGTGACAAGGCCTTGGAAACAACAATTCATATGCATCCCAATGACACAGGTTGCAAACTGTAAGGTCTTTGCCATTGACACCTGCTATTGGTGCTCCTTCACAAGGCAATGGAGAAATATAAATATATTTGGGAAAGCAGGGTGGACCAGCAGGTAATATTTACATGCTTATTTTTTCTATAAAAAGTTAAAAAAAATAAAGCAGAACTGCAATGTAACTGGGGCACATACTACGTTTGTTGATGAGAAAGACATAAAATACTGGAATTTTGGAAAAGACTGGGAAATTCTGGTTTTCTTCATTATGGTTAAATACAATTGTACCGTTAAATACAATTAAACAAAATACTGCAGCTATTTCTTTATAATGAACGCTTGCATGGGAAGGAATATCAGGATGTGAAAAGCATGGTCTTCATCCTGGACCACCTTTGCCATCTTCTGAGAAGGCATTCCGACTATGCTTTCACTCAGTGACCATGTAGCACACAAGACATGGAGAGAAGCTGTCGTGATAAAACTGGCTTCTGATGTTTGTAAATCATGGGTAGTTGCAATGAGATAGAAAAGCAGCAAACCACAAGAGAGTCTAAAATATGTATGGATCTTAAAACAAATCCTGTTAAATTATTGTAGCAGTTGTGGTAAAAATATTAATTCAACGGATTTCCAGGATAATAAACATGGGGGCAAAGAAGAAGAAGAAAAAGCTTAAAATTCAGTTTTGAAGATGCCATGGAGAAAAAAAGGAATGAAAAGTAATCCGATCCTCCTTCACCCCATTCTGAAAAACAGCAGCAAACACAGTGACTTCCTTCATTTGTTGTCCACTTAAGACTGGTGCTGAAAAGCGAATGTCTCTTAAACTGGGAAAATCCAAACCAAGGCCTTGTTGTATTTCTTTGGACGTCAGTTCTGCTCCCTGAACGGATCTTTCCCATGAACCTTATAGTAACAACCAAATTTTTGCTTCAGATTTATGATGCTTAGATGCCCCTTTCATACAAGTTCCAAATATTCAGCTAGCATAAAAAGAATATGATATACATTGTCTTTCCCCAACAATCTACAGTTATTTCTGACATTTGGTTTTTTTGAATGCATGATTAATGCTATCCTCCTTCTGAGGCAATTTCTGTAATGTGAGCACAGTCTGAACTAAAACAAAGTAAATAATCAAGTAAAACAAGACTACTTTTATATGGATAAAACATTATTGAGAAATTAAGAAAATAGGAATATTCAACAACATGGACAAAGCATTTAAATGTTTATGGGTTGTTGTTTTTTGCAGTTTGTGGTATTTCAGGACCCTTCGCTTACAAGTAATTATTTGACTTTAGTATTTGACATGTGAGCTGTCAGTAAGATTTAAAATACTATTGTTAGCACTTGCATGTTGTATACAAGCAGATATTTTTACCAGTATTAAAGAAATACTAGTTTTGTAAGCAAATTATTAGATAAAAACTAACACTGATATTCCTATTAGAGTCTAATCCTGAAAATTGTAGAAGAATGTAGTAGTCTTTAGGTACACATGTTGACTCCTTGGCAGCAATGACACTTACTCACTTGAGTAAAAGGACCAGGCCCACTGTGGCTTAACTAATACTGCAGCATCCTTGCTGGCTAGATAAACCAAAAACATCAAAACCTCAAAGCAGCATTTAATTCTAGCCACTGAAATATATCGCCAATTACTTGGCTAAAATTGGATGCATTGCTTTTCACTATCAGATGAGTTTCTTATGATTTTGAGGAAAATAAAATGCAAAAATATATTATAGTCAGAATGCTACTGCAGCCCAAGCTGTGATGAGCAAAATGAAGTTAGAAATCATCATTAATTGGATGCATAGAGGTGCCAGGTAAAACCAAACCTAAGCATGCATTTTAAGTTGCCTTTTATAATGCCATCATTTTAGATATATAGTTTATTAAGCAACATCAAAAGTTGATTAATGAATCAGGTTATTGTTTTATTTTATGGGATTGTGGAATTGTATACTATCTCCACCTAGAGGTTTAAATATTAAATGTCTCCGTGTTCTGTTATGTTGACCAAAAATACTCCCCGTTCCAACCCACGTCCACATGCAAAATATCCCATTATCTTCAGTGTTTTGGTTTCTTTCCTGTTCCTTATTCTCCATGAGGACTGGCGTGATATAACTAGAGTGACACAATGACTCCAGAAAACATTGCATAGCTTCAAAGGCTGCACAGAAAGATTGTACAGTGCTCTTCTTTCCAGAGGCAATCACGAAAACTGTCATTTGGCTTTTAGAAAGACTTGTTTGACACAAGTTATTAACATTTCAACAACCTCAGGACTTCCTCCTTTACTTCACCTGTGCTGCGTACCAACTGATCTTATATTTAAAGAACAGCTTTCTTGCCCAAACCCCGGTGTATATGAGCGGCGCTAACTAGCAGCAAACAAGACAATCTCTGTTGCTGTTGCTCAAGAAGCAGAACCTCCTCTCACCTTGCAGAGAAGCACGCCAACAAAACGAGAACCAACTGCATCATGTAGAACATCAGTTTCCTCTTCATAGCTGCTTCCTTTCCTCTTCCTAGCGATGTAAGAGGAGGAAGAGAGAGAGAGAGAAAACACTTGGCTTTGAATCAGTTCCCAACCAAGCGATGCCTTCAATTCAAACCGACAAAAGGATGCCACTTCAATGAAGACTTTGGACCCATGGGTCGCTGAAGCACTCCCCCGCTTAAAAAAAAACAACAACCACCCCACACTAACAAGTTATTACATCTCCGTCCTCCTCCCAGATCATGTGTTGTTCTACATGCAGTGCATAATCAAAGCTGACATATGAGCAGATGCAGCAAATGTTGCTTTCCCTCCTCACTCCCATGCAATAGAAAGAAATCCAAGACTTCCCCCTATCTTTTTCTTATATATATTAAAAAAAAGTCCATCAGTAATTCCTCGGTTGGTTTCGCTACATCTTCAAGCAAAAAAAAAATTTAGGAAGATGTGGCAGGTGGGGGGGGTGTTGGAGAGAGGCATTTGCAAAGGGGGTTCACTGACACTGCCGTGAACCAAGGCAGCCCAGCTCTTTCCGAATGCTGAACATGTTTGACAGCTGCTTAAAGATAATAACTGCCAGTCACGGAGATAGATGTCCAGAGAGAGAATTCATAGAGAGGCGGAATTCGCAAACAACAACAACGAAAACAGTCGCGGCGCAGCGCAAAGTTGCAGAAGCCTCCTCTCTCCCCCCCCCAGCTTCCAAATGTCTCACTCAAATAGGCTGAAGGGGGGAGGAAAGGTTCAAAGCCAAAGCATCCTCTATTAGCCCCCCCCTCTCCCCAATGCAAATCACCCATAAACACATCTCCTTTTCATTCTGGTACATACCCCTGGAAACCACTCACTCTCCACTCATTCCAAGGGAGGGGAGGGAGAGGGACAGAGAGAAGAAGAAGAAGGGAGGGAGAGCAAGTAGGGAGCCTACCTTGGGAGCACCAGGAGGCGCTCAAAGGAGCAGCCAAAACATAAAGGATAATAATAATATTAATAAGGACTTGGCGAGCTTGAGGAGGGAGTCCTCCCTAGCGAGGCTCCGGAGAGTGGCGGGGGGGGGGAGCTCAAGAAGAAGGAAACTTGGCAGAGGGAGGGGGGAGGCTTCCAGACGACTGCAGCAGCCCCTGCGAAGAGAAGCGGACCCAGAGCGGCGGTGTGTTTGCGTGTGTGTGTGTGCATGTGCGCGCGCGCGCAAAGCAGGCGAGCAGTAGCGCGAGGCGGGCGTAGAGCAGCAGCAGCAGTCAGTCAGTCAGTCAGTCCGGGGTATATGGGTATGTCTCTCTCTCTCTCTCTCTCTCTCTCTCTCTCTCTCTCTCTCTCTCTGCGTGTGTGCGACCGCGTGCGTGTGCGTGTGGGTGAGGGAGTGAGGGCGAGCGCGCCAAACGCGTGCTCGCGCAGGCAGCGGATGCAGCTGGCACGCGCCCCCGGGGGCTCCAGCGAGGAAAGGCGGGAGGAGGAGGGCGCGTGGCGTGGGGGGGACGGACGGGGACAGTGAGGGGGCGGAGCCGCAGAGAGAGGGAGAGACACCGTGAGGGGAAAGAGCCGTTTGTGGACCACCGGTGCCACTGCTGCTGCAGCTGGAGCGCCGCGGGGCAGGAGGAGCCCCGAGGCACCCGGGAGCGGGACGTGGGCTCGGCCGGGCCCTAACGCAGGGCGTCGTGTCGTGTCCCCCCCCCCCCGCCTTGCCTAGCAACCGGGCGGCGGTGGAGTCGCCGTCTGGCGGGGCTTTTTTTTTGGTGAGGGGTGGTGGTCTTTTTTCGTTGTGAGGTAGACGCCTCCGCGGCGTGCGTGGTTCTAGCTCGCGTGGCAACGGCCCGGCCTGAGGCGAGCGTCGTCTCCCCGTGAGGGAAGGAGGAAGCAGCCGGCGCCGTTCCCACCCACCCCCACTCCTCCTCATTTAGCCCGTGGCAAAGCGGGCAGAGGCAGCGGGGTTCACCTCCCAGGGGGAGGGGGAGAGATGGGGAGGCCTGTGGGGAGAGTTGCGCTCCCCCCCCGCTGCCCAATTGCAGCTGCTCGCCCCGCACCCCCAGCCCCCTTGGCGCTTGCTCGGCTGCTTCCTCGCGCATCCCTTTTTTGGCTGATCCATCCAGACAGGTTACTGCAATCGCGGCCGGCCGCTCACACACCCAAGAAACGTGCTCTTCCCAGAAGTTTGCATCGGCACGAGATTTGGGGCGGGCGGCGGGAAGCAGGGGGGGGAGAGAAGCTGGCTGGGGGGGGGACGTCCCTCTCCGTGCCTGCTTTGCACTAGCAGCAGTTGCTGGAGATGTTGGAGAATAGATGGGCTGGAGGAGGAGGAGGAGGAGGCTGGGGCTGTTGCTTAATTTAGCCTTTCACTTGTCAGATCCATGTGCACCAGAGAAGCTGTTTCAGGCTCTCTGGGTCTCCGCCACCCTGTTTTCCTCTGCTTTGCCTCTCTTTGATCTCGCTCCTCTGGAGTCTCGGTGTGGTTTTTTTGTGTTTTTCCCCGCAGGTGATGAAATGCAAACGAGGGGAAAGTGGGTCTTGCTTGCAGCAATGTAGACTGGCATTCATAAGGTGCACTCAGAAGGGGGGTGAGCAAAGTATAGAAAGAGCTGCTTCCATTGCCTCTCTCATTCATCCCCCCAACAGCATAACAGGAAGCTGTAAAACATGCTGGTGATGAGAGAACAGAAGACTTAAAAAAGAAGTATTTCCCCGTAAAAAAACAGGTCATTATGACCTCCATAAGTGCTGCTGATTCTTCATCAATCTAGTAAACCATGAACATTGTATAAAATGGAATAATATTGTTGCACCCCACCACAATCTGTGAGTGGTGCAGGATTCCAGGGGTTCCAGGTGCACTTTACCCAGGGTTTGTGCTTCCTTTTGGAAATGAGGCACAGTGGAGACTGTGGTGTCTTTATGAAACATGGTTTATTTACACATACAGTGGAACCTCGGTCAAAACAAAAAAAATTCCTTCCAGTAGCACCTTAAAGACCAACTAAGTTAGTTCTTGGTATGAGCTTTCGTGTGCATGCACACTTCTTCAGATACCTAGGTAAGTGGAACCTCGGGTTGCGGATGTAATTCGTGACGGAGGAATGTCTGCAACCTGCAGCGTTCGCAAGCTGAAGCGCCGTGTCTGCACAGGCACCGGAACGATTTGGCACTTCTGCGCATGCACGAGTGGCAAAACCCAGAAGTAACCCGTTCCGGTACTTCTGGGTTTCCTACGGTCCACAACCCGAAAACACGTAACCTGAAGCGGGCGTAACATGAGGTATGACTGTATATACAACCTATGATGAAGGAGTTCACAGCATTAACACCCAAAAAGGGTATTGCTTATCCAATAGTTGCGGTCTTGAATCCAAACAGAAATCAGCCATTGTACTCTTGACCTTCTACTCCAGTTTACTCCCTTTTACAGCCTGCAGCTTTTTGCTTTCGGCTTCTACCTGCCACACCAGCAAAAACTCCAAGGACTCTCAGCTTTTGTCTTTCTAACTAACTAAACAGGTGGAGGGAGGTGCCCTTCCTATTTGTCCAGTCACAGAGCCCCTTCTCATGTAGCTTTCTTAATGGGCCATTACCTTCCTTTTTCTTCTTAATGGATCATCTCTCATGCCATTACCTCTTCAAGAAACTGGCCTGGCTTATATTTTAACCTTTGCTAAATCCAGGGGTTCAGTGTTTGGTACCCAGAAACTCACAACAGGTGGGGAGTCTAAAACTCATAACACAGGGAAGTCTAGCACACACAAACTCATAATAAAATATCCCCTTAACTTTTAAACTTGGATGCAATCCCCTCAGTGCCTTTAAGTCAAGAGCAACAAGTTTGGATGCAGCTGGAATTACCGTATTTTTTGCACCATAACACTCACTTTTTTCCTCCTAGAAGGTAAGGGGAAATGTCTTTGCGTGTTATGGAGGAAATGCCTACAGGTGGCATGCCTACGGATTTTCCTCCTCTAAAAATTACGTGCGTGTTATGGTCGGGTGCGTGTTATAGAGCGAAAAATACGGTAATTCTTATTAATGCTCCTTAGCTTTTGTGTTAGGTGTCCCTATACCAGAAGCCTCAAAGCCAAGGATAGGGAATTGGGAGTTCTTGGTAGTAAAAGAGAATTCAGAAATATTATATAGTGTGTATATCAGAAACTGAGTATCAGTGAGATACAGCTGTGCCTTGATATGAAATCTATTGAAAGAAGTGTGAAGTGCATATTAAAGGAAGTATAGCTCTGTGTGTCAAAGGGTATGTGGAATCCCATAAAAGGGAACAAATACCATTATGTGATCTTCATGGGTGGAAATACTAAGCCTAAAAAATAATATAGTACTGGAAACATATTATTGCCCCCTAACCCAATCTCTCAAGATGGTGTCACTGTGGTGAAACATATTAGGGAGGTAACTAAATAAGAAATAATGGGTGGCTTCAATTACCCACATGTTGGGTAAATGTTCATTCATGTTATGGCAAGCAGACAACATTTCTAGATTGGACAACATATGAGTGCTCCATAGAACAGTGACTTATGGAACTAATGAGAGGAAGCGATATCCCTTGCCATAATCTTAATTATGACCAGGGTCTGGTACTGAAATGTACATGTAACCAGTTACTTAGGAGTGATGAGCATAGTACTGTCAAGTTCAACATATATGTAAATGGAAAATAATCCAGGAACTCTAGCATTATACCTTCTTAAAAAAAATAAAAGAGGGAACACCAGCTTCTTTTTTGGCTCAGATGTTAGTGTTTATTAAAGCAAACATTTGATAGGGTAGGCTAACAAGCTTTCAAACTTCACAGAACTGTCCACGGAGAGGTGGGTTGGGGGGAAAGGCTCTGTGCTGCTCAAAGATTTACTACTCACCACTGATTCCAATAAAACATCATTTGAATTACATTGGATTCCTTTTGTCTTTTGTATTGACTCCTATCTTATTATTGTATCTGTATGCTGCTGTGATTATGATTATAGTTTAGAATTCTAATTCTCTCCCCCCCCCCTTCTGTTTAAGAACAGTTTAAGGCTTTCCATATCAAAGAAAAGGTCTTTAATATGAAGGAACAGTTGAAAGGAAGGAGACTGAAAGTGTTAGGATACTTAAATCTCTTCAGAATGGTTGAAGGCTATTTAACCAGTATTAGAAAAGGTTAAACAAAACCAGTAAAGATTAAACACAGGATGTTAGCAAGTCTTGCCCAGATGAAGAAAATCAAAAGGGGCACAATCTCTGGCGAAAAAAGCTGTAAATAAATGTTAAAGGAAGCAAAATAGAATTTGTGGAGCACTTTACCAAAAACATTAACATAAGCAATAAAATGTTGTTTTATGTATGAAGCAGAAAATGGGTGGGGTAGGTGCAAAATAGTTGTACCATTATTTGAAATGTGATGAGATGAAAAGGGATAGGGAGATTGCAGAGAAGCTGGATCATTATTATTTTTTCGCCATGGATCTTCACTGAAGAAAGCTTGAAAGATACACTTGGAACAGAGATGTCACCAAGTTTCATAATTTTTTGACTGAGAATACAGTGGTACCTCGCAAGACGAATGCCTCGCAAGACGGAAAACTCGCAAGACGAAAGGGTTTTTGGTTTTTTGAGTTGCTTCGCAAGACGATTTTCCCTATGGGCTTGCTTCGCAAGACGGAAACGTCTTGCAAGTTTGTTTCCTTTTTCTTAACACCATTAATACAGTTGCAACTTGACTTCGAGGA